CCCCCCCCCCCCCCTCTTTTTGGCAGGTCTGAACTCCATACTCTTTGCAATTAACATTGACAACAAGGATTTGAATGGGCAGAGCAAATTTGCTCCCACTGTCTCTGACCTCTTAAAGGAGTCAACACAGAATGTGACGTCTTTGCTGAAGGAGTCCACGCAGGGCATGAGCAGCCTTCTCAGGGAGATCACAGCATCGTCTGCTGTCTCTATTCTCATCAAGCCGGAGCAGGAGACTGACCCTCTGCCTGTCATCTCCAAGAACGTCAATGTTGGTGAGCCAGAAGGGGTCCGCGAGGTGGCGTAGGAGGGCCAGTGAGAAGGAAATGAGAGTAGGGCTGAGAGGAACCCACCTGACCTTGTTACTCTCCTCTGGGGAGCACAGTCTCCTGGTGTTTGCTTTTCTCTTCGTTCCCTGTGAGAGGGACCCAACAGGAAGGATAGGAAGCCAGGTGGGGCTTCTTCCAGCACTTACTTCTCCTCCTCCTCATGTGCTCAGCCGTGAGTTCTTGTTTCCATTTGTCTGCTAGCACCTGATTAATCTTGGGGATGGGCAGGGGTGATATTTAAAAACAAATGACATAAACAACTTACTGTTCTTGTATATGGGATGAGAGCATGGGCTGCTTCAGAGAGAATGCTTTTGGGCTTGCCTGTATGGGAGGATGCGATTTAAGTAGTGCCTGAGGTAAGAGGGCAGCTCTGAGCTTTGACTATGGGCAGGCAAGGGGAACTGGTTCAGTTAAGATAGGTTTGCCAGAAGCTGATGATACCCGTAGAGCATTTGGAGTTGTTAGTAGTTGCTATATAGCAGAAACCAAAACCTGGGGGTTAAATCCTGATTTCCCAAATCCCTTAAGGCAGCAATCATGGCCATCACTTTAAAATTAAAAAAAAAATTATTTTTCTAGTGAAAATTATACACACTAGGCAAGTGCTCTGCCAGCTATGTCCACAACTTTTCTTACTTTTTGTTTTCGAGACAAGGTCTTATTATATATGTTGTTAAGGGTGGCTGTGAACTGACTCTGCAGTCCATGTTGGTCTTGAACTTGGATCTTCCTGTCTTAGCCCCTGAACCACCGGGCCCCACTTTTAGAATTCTGTTTTGTCTGCCTGTCTATTTCTGTTTGTCTGTCTGTCTTTGTGTATGTGTGTTTGTTTGTGCATTTCGTTTGCACATGTATGTAAGTGCAAAGGTCAGAGGTCATTGTGAGGTATCTTCCTCAATGGCTGTACCCCTTGATTTTGTTTTGAGTCAGAATCTCTGAGCTGAACCCAGAGCTCACCAGCTGTCTAGACTGGCTGACCACTAAGCTCCAGGGATCAGCCTGTCTCTGCCCTCCCAGGGCTGGAGCTGTTGCTGGGTGTACACCGTGACCAGCTCTTCCCCAGGACTGGGGTCCAAACTCAAGTCCTTCTGCTTGTGCAGTGGGAACTTTACCTACTGAGCCAGCTCCCCAGCCCCCCTCAGAACTTTTCTTCTTAGCCTTTTTTTTTTTTTTTTTTTTTTTTTTTTTTTTGTCCTGGAACTTGTTTTTGTAGACCAGGCTGGCCTCGAATTCACAGAGATCCGCCTGCCTCTGTCTCCCAAGTGCTGGGATTAAAGGCCTGTGCCATCACCGTCCGGCTCTTCTTAGCCTTTCTTAAAAAGAGTGTTTCATTTATTCTGTGACAATTTCATACTTGTATGCACTGTGTTGTGATCATGTCTACCTCCCACCCTCCCCTAACCTTTTCTCTTCCCACCTTCATTTCCTCTTTGTATATAAAATCTCGCTGCTGCTCTCAAAGCATGGGTGTGGGCTATCCACTGGAGCGCAAGCAACTTAGCAGCACAGCCCCCTGAAGAAAATCCACACTCCCTTCCCTAGCAGCCATCGACTGTCAGTAGCTCCTTAGACAGGGTAAGGCCTCTTGACCCCCTCCTCCACCATGCTGGCGTGTTGACTGGCTTGGTCCTGTGCAGTAATCACTGCTCTTGTGAGCTCATTACTACAACAGCGAATCATGTCCAGCAGACGTCATCTTATAGCACTCCTCCCTGCCTTCTGGAGCTTAACGTTAGTTCTGCCTCCTTTTTCATGATGTACCTAAGCCTTGTGGGGCGGGGTGGGTTTGATCAAGATGTCTCATAGGGATGAGCACTCACACTGGCCTATTCTCAGTACTTTGACCAGTTATGAGTCTCTGCATTGGATGCTGCCCAGTACAAAAAGAAACTGCTCTGACCAAAGTTGAGAGAATCACTAACCTCTGGGTATAAACAGAAGTATTTAGAGGAATATTTGATATGAGCGTTAGCAAAACAACAGTAATAGGTTCTGCCTGTAGTACCTCTGTCCTCCCCAGTGTTTGCTGTTCTTCCGGAGGACCCGAGTGTGGTCTCTAGCATCCACGTCTCACAGCTGCCTATAATTCCAGCTGCAAAGGATCTGCGCATATTTTACAGAGACACACAGACACACACACACACACAGACACACACAGACACACACACACACACACACACACACACACACACCTACGTTTAAAAACAGTTTTTAAAAAAACCTACAAAATGCCCAGCAGTAGATGACAGCTGTAAACAAGCTCAGCGGTATTTTAGGGAGTTTTTGATCTCATAATGCTTTGTCTGGGCTTTTTTTTTTTTAATCTTACAGGTCTTTTGCTGCTTATATATTAAGGTTTCTGATTTTGTATCTTTATGTGCAAATGTGTGTGTCTGCATTTGTGTGCGTTTCTTGTGCTTTTTCTGTTTGTTTCTTTGTTTTGTCTTATTCTGGTTTGTCTTAATTTTATTGTTAGATGCCTGTTTGTCTTCTGATAAGAGAGATCTGAGCGAGTGGGGAAGTGGGGAGGATCTGGGAGGGAGCTAGGGGAAACTACATTCAGAGTATGAAAAAAAAATCTATTTCAAAAACCCTCATAACCCGAAAGCCCCAACACAGTTTATTCTTGGTGTGATAATAGACTTTGCTGCCGCCACGGGAGCATAGCTTGGCCTTCCTTCTGTCTACTACCACAGCTTTTCCTTTGTCAGATGCCAGATCTAAGAGGGAGAGGAGGAGGAGGAAGAAGGTGACCAACATTGTCTCTTTTGATGATGATGATGAGGAGCAGAGCATTGGGAACACTTTAAAAAAGATGCCTGGAACTACAGAAAGCTCGGAGGAGAACTCCGACCGCTCCTCCATCAATGTCACGTCAACCTTTGAAAGCCCCTTTGGGCCAAACTCCAATGGGAGCCAGAGCAGCAGTTCCTGGAAAATGGATGCTGCGTCTTTGAATGGGGAGCTGGGCTTCCAGAAGCTTGATGTGAAAAGCATCGATGATGATGTGGATGAAAATGAGGAGGATGTGTGCAGGAACCCAGCAGGAAGGAGGCACACAGGCCACTCTGAGTCGCCAGACAAGTAAGTCCCACCAGAGCTCATGGTGAGGGAGTTATGCCAGCCATTTTCTAGGAAGTGAGTGAAATGAGTGAGTTTTGGGCTGGAGCGATGGCTCAGTGGGTAAATCTTGCCATGCAAGCCTGACGACCTGAGTGCCAGTCCCCAGCATCCCAGATGGATGCGGCAGAGCAGGCACCCGTTATTCCCGTGCTCCCAATGGGAGGTGGAAGGTGGAGGCCTTACACCAGACAGCCTGAATACATAGCAGGGAAAACAAGAGCTCCTACCTCAAACATGGTAGAAGGACAGGATGGAGATGTGAGCTTAAACTCTGATCTCCAGATGTGTACCAAGGCATGTGTGCATACACAGGAACATATGAATGTGACATATGAACATGCACACACACACCATATGCATAATAGTGTGCACTTTTAAAAATTTCTTTGGGGGTATTATTCATTCTTTAGATCTTTATGACCTTACCCTGCTGAGAATTAGGGGAAGTCTACTTAAATGGACAAAATGCAAAATTGGCATCAAACTGTGTACTTTGAAATTGCTTTCCTCCATCTCTAACTTTGCACTAGGATAGGACGCTCAGGAAAAAGTGGACTGTCACTGATTGGCTCTTGAGAGCCTAAGAGAAGAGATTACTACCCTGTGTGACAATAAGACTTAACCTAAGAACTACGACAGCTGCTGTTGTGGCTCCATTGGTCACAGAGTTCTGGGTTTGTGCTCAACACTGCATGAGCTGGGTGTGGTGGTGTATATCTCTCATCAGAGCACGTGTGGGTGGAGGCAGGAGGAACAGAAGTGTCTTTAGCTACATAGAGAGTTCAAGGTCAGCACCTGGACCAAATGAGACTATTTCCAAAAGACCAAGCACACTGGGAGCAGTGCTGTGTCAGCACCCTGACCCATGTGGTGCTGTTTTAGGTTAGTGGGTATCACTTCTGGTTTGCAGGATGGAAGAACAGGATTCTGCGGAGTTGAGATTTGGCAGAGCACTTAGCCAAGCTGATGCTCAGGCTCAGGTCACTGCTTCCCAGAGCTCAGTCTGTCTGCACTTGCTGCCTGGGTGGGATGGAGATTTAAATCCACCACTTGTGGGGGTGTTGCAGAGCCTAGCCACATGATGTCTGAGGCCTTTGACACACACGTTGAGTGATGTCACATGTGCCAACTGTTCCCTGTTTACCCTTGCTTCTACAGTTGTCACACAGCCACTTTTTCTCCTCAGCTCTAGAGGACATGGTGCTTATCATGGCTGACTTCATAGCCCTCCTGGTCAACAGTGTGTCCTGAACATGTGTGAAAGTATCTTTATGGGGCTGAAACGCAATGGTGCTCTTAATAGCCCAGGATGCCCCCAGTGCTCTGCTTCTGTTGTTCGTGTTTGTGTAAAACCAGCGCTTTTTATTTCTCTGGAGACTGGCTGTTTAGAAAGTTTTGGGGCCTGGAGAGAGTACTCAGCAGTTAATCACACCCCATATGGTGAGCGTCAGGGGGTCTGATGCTCTCTTCTGGCCTCTGTAGGCACCAGGAACCATGCTTGGGGTGCACATGCGCACAGGCTGGCCTGAGTCTCCTCAAGTGCTGAGATTTGATATGCGTCACCATGCTTTTCCCTTTTTTTTCTTTCTCCTGACTTGGAGAATTGGCACATAGGAGTGTGGGATGTGGTTAGTTTGAATCCATAGGCAGACATCGGCAGCAGAAGAGCTGCAGTTCAAGCCCAGGGGCAGTTTGCTAGCCGCATTCCCTTTTATTTTTTGTGGCAAGGTTGTGTGTTTTTGTACTGCAGCCTCTGCTCTTTGGCTGAGGCCCACCTAGTCCAACAGGATAATCGGTTTAATTAAAAATCCACTGATGTAAATGTTAATCTTCAAAAAATACCCTCACAGCAACTTCTAGCATAATGTTTGACTAAGTATCTGACAGAGTTGCCCAGTCCACTTGGCGCATACGGTTAATCATTGAAACTGCCTTCAGTTCTGTGAGGGCTTGAGAATACCACTGCATTGTGTGGCTCTGTGGGTGAGTGCGCGTGAGTCGATGCCCCAGACCCAGCCATTTTTCTTCCTACTTTTGGTGCCATGTACAGCATCTTGGAGAGGAGGCCAGCTTGTAAGCCAGGGCCATTGTGATGTGTAAAAGGCACAGAGCAATGCTGGGTGACCTTGGGAGCCTGGGCCTCCATGGACCATGGACAGCCTCTCCCTGGTATCCAGGGGCATCTTGATTGAAGAGTCTGCAGAGCTAACTGGGGAGGAGCTGAGCAGTGATGAGTGGCTTATTGAGTAATACTTGGCTTTTGATTTAAGCTCTTAGTCACAGGAGAGGTCTAGAGTCTGCACACAGCCTTCCTGTGGGGGAGTGAGGTCAGGCCAGGAGGCTCAGCTTGGCTTGCTGCTGCTTCTGGCAGCAAAGTCTGATGCTGTCTTGTTTTTGGGATGATCTGGTGGCCCAAATTTGGGTTTACTCTGTTTACTGGTAATTTAAACAACTCTTTGGTGCCTGATCCCTCTTTATCCAGATTCCGTCACAAACATTGGCTTTGTTTTCTGTTTTCCTTCAGAATAGGCAATCACTTTATTATGGAAAGGAGTTTTTCAACCATCTTATTTGTGCTCTGACCAGTAAGGAAGTGAGTTTGGAGAGTGTTGGGGTAACTCAGAGAGTCACAAGTTACATGTTCATCTCGTGACTAGGCACCCTGCTCCTCACACACCTCCTACTTGTCTACAGCAAGAACAGGGTGAGCAGTGAGCCACAGCTCATCCACCCAGGGCTTATAAGGTTCAGGCTGGCTCCATGGGCTCCCACCCCCCATCCCAGGCCCAAACAGGCACGTGCACAGTCAGGCAGGAAGACTGTGCACGGGGGGGGGGGGGGGGGTGCGGG